GTACGTAGAAGTGTTTAGCTTTTTGTCATACAAAAAGTAATTGTTTTCCAGTATTTTTTTTTTGAGCTCCACAAGTTTAAACAAAAGAAAAGAAATTTCCATTGGATGACCATCCTTTCAGTTTCTCTGCTGCTATGTGAATAGCATTGTGCAAACCATTCCAATGGTATTGAAAAGGGGTAACCATTGGTTTGATTTGGTTACACGGTTTCGTAAAAAGCTCCCTCCCACTGCCTTAGGGTCTGTGAAAGGTCCGTGACCTGTTTAGAACTGCCAAGTGAAATGTCATGTCGCCCCTCCCAAATGGGAGTATCTGCATTCATTTGATCAGTATAAAAAATGATTGGGGATGGTGAGATCAGGGCTTTTGAATTGCAATTTATAGCAGTTTACAAAAATGCACATTGTTGGAAAAGAAAACATGGAAGTGTTTCTTTCTAAATTGCATTACCTGTGAAATGTCATTAGTCTTTTTAGGATATTGCATCCTATTTTTTATGATCTCAGAGAGAGACTTAAACGAAGAAGTTGAGTGTTTGCTTGAGATACGAAGGCATAGCGCACTACCTACAGCATCTGCTAAGTTTTGGCCTCAGCTGTTGGAGGAAATGTTTCCCCATTCCTCTTCAGATTGTGTCCATAGTTCTGCTGTTATCATCTGGTGGTATTACCGTGCGTTTCATGAGATCTTGTCATTTTAGTGCAATGACATGAGGCTGCTGCTTTCTGGGAGGGTGGTTTGTTCATGTCCAGGGCTCAGCATCCTCCTACCTCCTGCCGAGCGCTTTGACCACCGCCGCCTTGTTCGGAGACGGCTCCGCCGAAGGCTTAATTTGTTTCTCTTGCGATTGCCCTTCGCCGCCGCGCACCTGAATAAAACAAAACCAAAACAAATAAACAACAACAACGAAACACGAGGTAACAGTTACACCGATTTTAAACTATCCTCTCTTGAGTGCATCGTCTTTCACACGCTATGTACCCCGGGGGGCTGTGCCCTTCATCCGCCCAGCCCGGTTGTTAGGGGTGTGGGGGACGCGGGTCCGGGCGAGCGCCGTGGCTCGAGGCTGGGCACTGGCCCTTCCCTTGCCCGCTCCGTGCCTGCCATAGGTCCCGCACCCTCAGCACTGCTTTGGGAATGTCGGCGCTGCCTATCAGCGGTGGCACCGACGGGACAAGACGGGGGCCAGCCGTCCCCCGCCTCCGGTCGCGACGGGGCTGCTCTGAGAGTGGTGTGGGACAGAGAAAGGCGCTGGGGAGGGAATAGCGGCGGGGCACGGGTGTGTGAGAGGGAAAAGCGAACGGTGAAGGGTCTACCCCGGATGGCGGGCGCCCTTGATAGGGCTCGACCCAGGCCCCGAGAGCGGGGGTGGGCAGGAGTGCTGGCGGCGGGGCCGGCAGACAGGGCAGGCAGATGGGGGCTGCTCCTCCTCCTGCAGGTGCCGAGGCGAAGAGTGAAGCTCTTCCTCACCACCTCTCCCTCACCTAGCAGGTGCCCTGCTGCCAGCAGCGCAAGGTGCGGCGGCTTGCTCTGAAAAAAAACACCTTGTCCTCCGGGCCAGCTCACTGCGGCCTCGACCAGCGGCCGGGTCCCCCTGGGACTCGCCTCCCCATCCTGAGCCGTGTGTTTAGGAGCTAAACGTTGCTTACCTAAGGATGAAACCTCAGTAAAATATGCCCCAGCCTCTCTGAGAGCCTCCGGAGCGGCACCGCCGGGACACCACGTTGCCGTGGGGATCCCAGGCAGGTCCTCGATGGCACAGAGTACTGTGAGGGCAGAGTGTGTCCCTGTGTCTTACTGGGCCCCGGGGCGAGGGGAGCTGAGGTGTTGTCGCCAACACCGGGCAAAAGTTTGACGTCAAGTTCCACAACCAAAGAAGTGGTCACAGCACCAAGACTGCCAGAGCTCAAGAAGCGTTTGGACAATGCTTTCGGAGCACATGGTGTGATTTTTGGGGTTGCCCTATCCAGAGACAGGAGTTGGACTTCTACGATTCTTGTGGGTCCCTTCCAACTCAGGATTTTCTATGATGCTATGACCGTGTTCTCTGGGTCCGGCAGAGACGCTCTTTGTAGCTGTCGCCCAAGGCTGAAACGTTAAAATGGGGCGGATAAATTATTAGGAGTAAAAGCCTTGAACGGCTTAATTGGGAAAAGCAGTCCTGGTTCCAACCAATGTCCGTACAATTGCACACTGCAGTCCACCATTATTCGAGCTTCATCTACTATGCACTATATACCACCGTCTCCAAAGGATTGTTGCCCTAGAAACTTGTTTTAAATCTCCAGCTATATATCAACACCTTGTTTTAGCAGTCCTTGGCTGAATTACAGTTACACAGTTTGGCGCTTCTTTCAAATTTCCTCCCATCAGTTTGGCCAAAGAAAGGAATTTTTCTCCTTTAGAAATGAATTGGCTTAATTAGTAAGTAGATTAATGGCAATTGCTGGTGAGTTGGTTTCCAGCAGAGTTTCACCAGAGAGGGTTAATCGGAGTCAGGTCTGGAATCTTTCCCAGAACTGGCTGCCAGCCATTTCCGTCAACCAATCAACCCTGTAAACAAACGCGCCATCCGCTGAAATAGAGTTTATTTCTTACTGTCATCCTGCTGGAGTCATTTCCCCAAAGAGTCGCCACCTCGCCGTGGGTTTGAAATGGATCGCCCTGAACTCTCGTCTACTAATTTCCAGCTATTTCCCCAAATACTTTGAAGCGTTTCCCTGGTGAGAAAAGATTTGTTGTACGCATCGGTATTCAATAAACATGTAACCTGCTTCCTGCAGCCTCCGGCTGAGATTTTTCCCTTCTAAGAAGCTTATGATTCGAAGTAAAACCAATTAATGCAACAGGGCGATCCAAAACTCTTTTCCAAAGCCACTGTCTCAAATATGGGGCAAGAAAGAAAAACATCAGCATAGACTTTGACATCTTTTTCAGGCCTTTCCACTTATTTTTTTTTTCTATACCGATACAACGCATTCATACTTCGACTTGCAGCTGCATTAGTCTTGCAAAAAAAAAAAAAAAAAAGTCCCTGCTGAGAAATGCATATAATAGGAAAAACAGATCGGCTGGACAGCAGCGTAATTAATGCCAGAAAGGGCTGAGGCCGGTTTCATAGTTTGTCTTTTGAGGATATCAAGACGAGACCTGGTGAAAAATGACGCATGCTTTAACATTTCAGAAAGCTGGCAACTAGCAGAGCTCCCCCCCTCCACTCCTCCTTTTTTTTAACTTTATGCCTCTGAACAAAGGGGTCGGCAGAACTAGCTAGGTTGTAATGAGTTCTGTGTCCCTAGCACATTAAGTGCATCATGGAAACATATTGTATCGAAATAGTTTGGAGGAGAATACTGGGGATGAAAGAGAAAGGGTGCTTTGATCAGCTCCCTGGGGTCCTGAGTGCGCGCAGACCGACTTGCAAGGACTTATTCAGCTCCAGCGAGACACACTTACAACGCCATTCAAAGAAATTTGCATATCTGTAATTTATCACATTTGTCCCCAAGATTTTTGCAAGGTAAATAAAAGTTGGCTGAATAAAAAATATCAATCATCACAGAGAGAGGGAGAGCGGGAGCGGGAACAGGGCTAACTGTTTGTTTAACCAGACTCCGTTTGGAAAACTTTTGCTGAAGGCAGGATAAAACTCATCTCAGAACGTTTAGCAGTTTATTTCAACCCGGCAACCGCGCTTATGTCCGCAGCCGGAGCTCTGCGCCCCGGCCCAGCCCAGCACGGCGCGGCTCAGCTGGACCCGGCCCCGCAGGGCCCGGAGCTCCGGCATTCTGTGCCCCCCCCCGCTCCGCGCAGCACCGCGCAGCGCCCCGGTCCCTCGGACAGCGCCCCGGCCCCGCAGGCCCCCACAGAAACGGCTGTCAAAGCCCAAGGGGAGAAGGGGAAGGGGAGGAGGTAGAAATACAACGTCGGAGAGGCCCCCGCGAAGGCCGTGTTCAGCTTCAACCGGCGGCGACCGCATCGCCACCGGCATCTTCAACTTGACCTTGGCGAGGGCTCCGCGCCTTTGCCTCATCTGTCACCCGCGCCCAGTGACAGTGATGCATTTCGCTCATTGTCAGGGCAGGGCACGGGAAAGCCGTCGGGGACGGGACGGGACGGGCTGGCGGCGGAGCGGGTGCGGTGTGTCCGGGTGGTGGCGAGGAACAAAAGTTATAGCGAGACGCCTGTGCGGCTAATTCCGTGAAAGACGCGCCGGTCCCCCCCGCGGGAAGGTCAGTGTCGCGGGCTGCGTTCCGCCGAGGGGGGGCCGCAGTGCTCCACGCATCCCCCGCCCCGCCGACTGCGCTCCCCACGCTGGCGGGCACAATCTGTCCAGACACGTCCCAAAGGCTCCGTGTTTTCCCCCTTTCCCCAGAACTCTGCCATCCCGAGCCGGCTGGCGTCGGTCAGGCACCAGAGAGGCTCTGCAAGTCTCACTGGGACCGCAGGGGTGCTTCCCAATCGCACCAACGCGCCTCGGGCCACTTCTCGCTTCAGCGTGGTCGCCCGAGTGGGGGTCGGTGCCGTCGAAGGTGCCCGTCCCGCCCTGGGGGCGTCCCCGCCCGCCATCAGCGAGGGAGACGTCCGAGTCCGAGATGTGGCTCTCGCCAGGGACATAGTTCTCCACGGGGCCGATACGCGGGCGCCCTGAAACGGCCCCGGCCCCCCGTGAACTTGGAGGTCAGGGCAGCCGTCGGGGCTCTCGGCGGATACATTTCCCAGAACAGGAAGCCGCCTTCATTCGCCCGACGTGTGCGGAGCTCCGCCGCCTAGGAATCCCCTCCGCTTGGCCCTCTCCCCGCGCCCCGCGGCGGCAGAAAGTTCGGGACCCCGTCGGGGCGCGGGGCAGTGGTGGTGGGATGGTCCCACTCGTGCGACCCCGCCGCGCTGCCCGTCCCCGGGGAGCGGGCAGCCTCCGCACGGCGGAGCTGGAGGCTCAGGTCACGCCGTTCCAGCTGGGAATCCCGGGGCTGCGAGGATCGGGGGCACCAGGGCGGCCATGGTCCGTCCGGGCGGGGCAGGGCAGGGCCGGCCAGAGCGACCCGAACCTTTCGGCATCCCGGTGCTGCCCGGCGGGGCGCCCACAGCGGGGCTGGCGCGGCGGGACAGGGCCTCCCCTGCCTTCTCCAAACCGCTCGGCGTTACAGGTTGCGCCGAGCAGGTGCACAGGCAAAGCGGGGTCCGGGGTGGGAGGCGGAGACTAGGGGTGCGGGGACCGAGGCAGGCAGGGGGCGGGCGCTCCCGCGGGGCCCCCCGGGGGCCGGCTCCGGGCCGCCCGATCGGGCACTGCGCCCGCAGACGGAGAGCCGAGCGCTGCCTCCGGAGCCGGCGCCGCCGCCCCAGGGGCCGCCCGGGGGGAGCCCCGCTCCTTTCGGCGTGGCCGCCGCCAGACGGGGCCCCGCGATGCGACGCGGCGGCTCCTCGCGAGGCCCCCCCTGGGGCCGCCCCCGGCGCGGCCACTGCTCAGGGGCGGCGCCGCCCTGGCCCGCGGGGGCACCCGGCAGCCGGGCCCCCTCTTGGAGACCTCCATGCGCAACGCGAGTTTGCGGGCGGGAGAGCCCCGCCGCCACCGCCCGCTATCGCTCGCCAGGGCCCCGACGGCGGCGGGTCCACACCGGGGGCTTCGGTTGGGAGCCGCCCCCGGCCCGGGGCCGCCCCGCCCGGCCCCTCCCGTGTGCGGCGGCGGCACGGGGAGCGGCGGGG